GTGATACACAACAAACGTAACATAGTTTTAGCTCATATTATTATTTTTTTACACGATCATATTTTTTTCTTATATTTTTTTAATTAGAGAATATTTTTGAAGGGCATTGTTATTTTTCTAATTAGAACTGTTAACATGCACGACAAAATTTTCTTCGCATTAATTTCAACAAGCGTGAATTGTATATTCACCGCAATTACATTACATATATTTTTGTCACCGACATTTATTTATTTTCAATCTTCCATGTGAATTAGGTGTATGTTTTAGTTGTGTTGGTGACTTCTTACAATATTTCTACTTATATATAGATAAAAATACCAAATAAGTATAAAATTTCTTTTTGTACACTTGGAGGCATACGTCATCTGCAAATATTTTGGTAGTTTCTCTAGTGAAATCACATAAAAAGTTTTTGTGATTTCCGAAATACAGATACGTTTTGACCTTAGTGGTTTCCCCTCGGTTCTGGCCTTTATCTTGTTTTGGCAGAAACACTATTAGGAATCGGACTAAATATATTTATCAAAAAATAAGTTATATGTCTATTATCTGGTTTTGGTAGACACACTTAGCAAATGAACACAATGTTATGATTATGTTTTGGTATAAATGCCACTCCATCTTGTTTGTGTATATGGCTAATGTATTAATAAGGAGTTAGTTTTTATTGACTATCTGTTTATCATGAATATAGACTTCGTTCACACAACTCCAAAAATAGAGCTATCTTGTTTTTGCAGTAACCTCACAAAATTCCAAGATTATAAAAACAGAAACCTATAGTTTTAATAATAGTGTTTCGGGCCACAAAAAATGCTTGGAGGGCTGCAGGTTGAGTATGGCTGCTTTAAGGGAACGTAATAACATTACTATACAATGTAAATTCAACGTAAATGAGAAGTTGTTGAGGGAAATCAAAATTTCGAAACTTCTATTTGTTACTTATCTATTTAACCTACGTGTTATGTTAACACAACGTAATATAGTAATAAATATACACGAGAAGTACTGTGAACATCACAATCTGAATTCGGATCGTTTATAATCGAACTGATCCGGAACTAAACCAGAACTGATCCAGAACAGTATATGCATGCAACATTTTTTTGAAACTAATCAGGAACTAAACCAGAACTGATCCAGAAAATGTTTTTCATTAATTTTTTTTTCAAATTTTATCACATTTTTTTCATGCAACAATATTTCATCCAATTTTTTTCATCCTAATTGTTCTTTACATTTTTACATATAAAATTATTTCGTTAAAAAATCTTCCAACACATTTGATAGTCTTTATTTTGAGGATTTCGATTTAGTTGAAAATATGCACTACGATACAGAATACCTCGTAGAATTCAAAAATAAAATCGGTGCTTTGATATCGCAATCCATCTTAGAGTTACTGATGATTGATTTCAAGGCTTTCACGGATCACCGGTTAGGAACCACTGGACTAAAGAGTGGTTTTAGTCAGGTGGTAAACGAATTTTTTTTTGTAATTATAACTTTTAGGGCGGGTTGTACAAAGAATGCTGTGAATTCAGTTTACCTAATAGGAGTTTAATTTGTAACTGGTTATATTCAAAGTACAAATGTCTATTTTAAAACTATGATGATAAACCGATGATTATACAATCATGGGCGTCGTTACACAATTCTATAGGGGGGGGGGGGGCAAAATTTTGAAAAAATTTTAGAATGTTTATTTGTTTGAAAACAAAGGAAATGAAAAATAAAAGAAAATTTTCTTATGATGGATTTAATTTTTCTCTGACGTCATGGCTTACTTACAGCTTTTCCAGAAATAACAGAAAATCGCAATTTATTTTTTATTTTTAAATGAAAAACATTTTTTTATTGAAAATTTGAATTTCTGGGACATTTTTGGGGCGTTTATTTAACATTTTCTGTAACATATTAAAAAAATATATTTTCCATTTTTTTAGCTGACAGAAAATTTTCAATACATGATTCTTTTCCATAAATGTTCCCGAAATTCAAATTTTCAATAAAAAAGGGGGATTCTATTTAAAAATTAAATATAAATTGAGATTTTCTGTTATTTCCGAAAAACCAGAAGTAAGCCATGACGTCACACACCAATTGAATCCAGTATATGACAGTATTTGTTCCAAGCTTTTAAACAAAAAAGTTTTCATTCCAATATCTCAATTAACAACGAAGATAAAAGCGGATGGAATTATTAAACGGTTTGCTAATAATAAAAATGCTTAGATGTGTTACTGGTATACGATAAATGGGTCTCAATGGGAATTTTGAATCTTACAAAGATTTTATAAAGATCGTACATTCTTATATTTTTTTCTATAAACGAATTAATAGTGACATGTTTAGAAAAAATATCCAATATGGCGGCCATTTTGACAGCTGACAGAAAATTTTCAATACATGATTATTATACAATTTTTTTTAAATTTACAATAAAAGAGAGGGTTTCCATTTAACAATAAAAAAAATTCGGTTTTCGTTATTTCCGGAAAAACCGGAAGTAAGCAGGACGTCACAGAATAATTGAATCAATCAAAAGAAAGTGTTTGTGCCAGTTTTTCAAACAGAACAAAATTAATCAGATATCTCACTGAATAGTGAAGATAAGGGGAGTGGAACTTTAGTAGTAACCCTAACAATGTCACTGACCCATTTGACAGAACTGATACTTAAGTTGTCATAACGAGTCTTTAATAAATAAAATAACCAAAGAAAAAAGACAAAAACAAAAATTAAAAAAAAACAAGTAAAGTACATTTTTAAAAAACAAACAGAAGGTGTGATATAAAAGAAAAATATGAACATAATAATATTAAAAATAAAAATTTATAAAAAACAGAAACATAAAAAAACTCAAATATGATAATGAATACAAAAAAAAACACTAGGAAAACGCAAATTTTAAATTTCTTTTTTCTCTACTAAAAACATCGATAACGGAAAACATAATTTATTTTTCAGTCAGCCTATTTTCATTCATTATTAAACAAAGTGAAAAAATTATTATTATTATTTATTTTTATTACTTTAGCTAAAAAAGTCAATAAAAAACAATAATAAAACATAGGCAGGTATTTACATTTTCTCGTAAATAGAGATCTTGCCTGAGCATAATAAGTTGTCATTGAATAGGTTAAATAATGTCAAAATAAAAATATTACCATTATATAATAACGTAGAATTTAAACGTAATAACAAAAATAATTGGTATATTTGCGATTGTAATTTATATTTTCTTCATTTTTAGTTCGAAAGAACCCATAGAAATTAATGAAAAAAAAAAACTGGTTTCCTATCAATAAGTCATAAGATTGCATGTCAGCCATATACAATAATTAAAGGCAGAAATCTAATCATTTACTAAACTTTTAAGATTTAAGGGATGTTAAAGAATATCATAAAAAAATAATTGCTTAATTATTACAAAAATAAAGATTTTTTGTTCTTATTATACAGCTGTCCATTTATTTCTTTTATTTAATTTCGATTTTGCTACTGAACATTCATATAATTTACAGTCTTTTTGCTAGTATAATTTGCAACATAGCAACTCCGGTTGCTCATTTTATTGTTTTTACATATTTTTTTAATAAAAAGTAAAATGTATACGTGTATTTGATATGCCAAAATTACAAAATATCGCCCTAAAATACTCGAATTATCCGCAGGTTGCGCTAGTATCGCTTTTACTTCCCCTACCATGACTTCGCACTGATCGAATAGACCGCAGCCATGTTTTAACATGCCTAAGTGTTCCAAACGTTCTTTCGATTAACTCTGTCGTTGGTGGAAGAGCCATAAATATTTTTTAAACCGTTTTGTATGGCTAAATAAAATTCACAATATTTGGACGCTATATCATCAATGGAGAGCTCATTGTGTGCAGAAAGCTCTTTCGTATTCCAGTTTAATATTCAGCTTCAAAATTGTCGATTCCAAATTTTTCCACCACTTTCATTTTGTTATCGGTAGTGAAAATAGTTATTTTCCTAACAAGTGCGGAAAGTGTTACTTTCCCGCACGCGATTGCAGTTGGCGGTCAAGTGCGGTAAAGACACTTTACGCATGAGTTAGGAACACTATTTTTTCTACGACCGTATATACAAAAAAGCAGGAAAAATTATTTTATTTCAACATATACAAATCTTTAAATAAAAACAACTAATTATTATGGATATTAATGTTAAATACACAATTTGTAGCATTTTGTAAATTATGTAAAATTGCCGGTACAGAGGAATTAGTTGGTGTTAATTGGCTGTTAATAGTCGTAACGCTCGTAGATTGAAAAGATGACGTGGACGGGAGTGACATCGGTTGCAGGTCGCATGAAGGTGAAAATGACGGTGGCAGCAAAGGTTGCAAGTCATTTCTATTTGAAAGAATTTTATTCGAAATGTTTTTCTTCTGTGTTTCGGAGTCCTCCAAATAGCCTTCGGCGATAGTAGTGGACTTCCAGCCACCGAGACGTTTTATATTGGTTATCGCTTCACCTGAGTCTGCTAGGAATGTTGCTGAAGAACGTCTAAAACTGTGTCCTGAACATCGTTCAGGATTAGGTAGACGCAAATATGCAGCAATCTCTGTTGGCATCTTACCAAAGGTGTTTACGCCAACGTACTGAATTGAGCATTTTCCCTTCTTATAATTAATAAAAAAGAGGCGATGCGGAGTGGTAGGTGGTCGTAAACCTGCGTACTTTCTGTACAGCTTCAGAAAGTTTCCATTATTTATTTCTTCACATAAAACAAATGATCTTGAAGAATGATTTTTGGAATCGGAAATTTTCACAACTATCAGATTGCCTTTATCTTGTATATCATCGAGAGTGATATTTACAAGCTGCAACTGCCTACCACCCCCCCCCCCCCCAAACGACGCCCATGTATACAACGAGGTTCACAGTTTAAACTCAGATTACAATTTAAACTGCCTATTGTACAACCCGCCCTTAACGTTGATACTTTTCTTGTAACAAATAAAATACGTATTTTAATTAGTAAATTATTTATTAAATAACTAATATATAAACTTTTTTTACAAAGCAACTTGTTCTACTTTTTCATCGTCCTCATCTTCTACTTTTCCTTTGCTTTTTGTACTTTCAGTATCTTCCAGATACGCAACATGATCTACTTTTAACTTCTCAGGTGAAGGGGGACTCCACAGTATGCACCTGAAAATACAACGTTTTTACCATACTGAATTCCAGGATAATTTAAATATATCTCGTATTAAAATAAAAAAATTTAACAAGCTCTTACCTAGAAATGAATGTGCCCTGTCGTTTTGGCTTCATAGTATAAATATCCCTAACCAATGCAGCAAAATTCTCTTCCAACTGTTTAGCGTCCATACTTAACTAAAAATTAATAAAAATATCTCAAATACTAAAAAAAAAAAATGTTTCATGCATAAAAGAGGCTCAAAACCATATCTTGGAATTTTTGTGATATAATTTGTTTTTAATGACTCTTATGAGTTTGTGAAGGTTTGGCCAAGTTCGTGGAAACTCGCCAGAAGTCGCGCATGCTCTACAGAATTGATATGGGCTTAAGGTGTGTTTATAATATGTACAAGGTACAAGAGGATAATTTAATATCATTGAGGTGTTAGTTCGCGTAAGTTCATTGTGGTTCATATAATTTCGTGCAAGCTCGTCCTAGTTCGTGGATGTTCGTCTAAGTTCGTGCATAATCTAGTGAATTAGTAAACCTAAGTTTAAGAAAGTTTGTACTACATATAAAGTGTGTGTCATAAAGTTGGATCCATGTGGATTTTTTTAATATTACGATTGGAAAAAACGACGTTGATATTCATACATGCTCGTTCAGGATCTTGGAGATGACAGTTTGCTTAAGTTCGTGGAGGCTCGTGATGGTTCGTCTAAGTATGTTCAAGTGAGTGCCGGAGGATCATTTAATATCATTGAGGTGTAAGTTCGTATAGTTTCGTGCAAGCTCGTTCTAGTTCGTGGAGGCTCCTCTAAGTTCGTGCATAATCTAGTGAATTAGTATACCTAAACTTAAGAAATTAGAACGTATACATTATGTGTAACATAGTTGGAACCTTGTGGGATTTTTTTTTTAATATTACGATTGGAAAAAACGTGGTTGATGTTCTACATGCTTTTGGACATGACAATTTGTTTCAGTTCGTATAGGCTCGCCTAAGATTGTCCAGGCTCCTGATGGTTTGTTAAGGTTTGTCAGTTTGTGATAATTCGTCTAAGTTCGTGGAAGCTCGTCCAGGTTCGTGCTTATTCTAATAAATTGGTATGGAGTTTAAGAAGGTGTGTAACATACATTTGCCAAGGGATGTTGATTTCCGAAAATTTGGTAAAAAATTATTTTATGATCATTCGACGATTTATAAATTAAAATCGCGTAAAAAGTTTTTTTTTTTCATACACTACTAGGTACTTGAAAACTTCTTTTAAAGTAAAAAAAAAAATAATAATTCTAACTTACAGGTCCAACCCTAGTCTCAATCAGTCCAAAATCCTTTTCATATTCATCTTTGGTCGCGGTATAACTCACTCCGTGCAAAAACTTGTGAACGGCGGTCCCCAAATTCACATCTAATGTTCCATTTTTCGGATTCGGGAACCGTTTTTTCAGCAAACCTCTCAACACCACCAGTTCTGGAAGGATTTCCGGATGAGCGATCACGAATTTGAAATCGGCTAGCGATAATTGACCGTTTTGGATTTGTTTTATCATATCCGGACCGCCGGAAAGTTGAGCGCCCGCTTCTCTGGCGATATCTTGGTTTTCGGGTGTTTTGCTGAAGGCTATTATCGAGCGTTCTTCTCCGTGATCGAATTTGTGCGGCATTGGGGCTATTCTCGTAAAATTATCGACCATTTTGTTCTAAAAAACGATAAAAGAACTTACATATCATAAAGCATTATACTCGCACAATTTTAAATGATCGTGACTCATCTTGCGGATTGCACTGTGGTCAACCGGCAACAATGCAATTCTATTATGATTTTCACAGCTCAACTTACCGAAATCATTTTAATATTTATGCTTTGTCAACGCGGAAATTTAAAAAGTAAGATTATTACATAATATTTACTCCTATTACACCTAGCCAAGTTAGGTAAATACTTTGAATCAGCGATAAACTTGTCAATACTAAGAAGGTCTACTGGGAAGACTAACAAACCAGTTAGGTATTAATTCAATTAAATAAATCAGTGTGGTAGCGTGAGGCAGATATATGATTAGTTGTAGTGATTTAATTTTTTTATCATATCATTCTAATAAATTCGAGGAAAAACGGCTTAAAATTAAATACTTCTAAGTTTTAATTACTACTAAATTTTCTTAATATAATGACTTCTTTTGTTATTAATAGCTTAATGATATTATTGGTATTAAATCTGTATTTTAATCGTGTAATTTGCCAATTTTTTAGGTTTTTTATTTCTTCAAAAATAATTTAATTTTGATGAAATTTAGTGAAATTATACCTTTGTATGTCTTAAACAAGCAAACAAAAAAATTAAAAATTCGAAATATTTCGACATATTAATTTTTTTCTATTCAAAATACTTTTTTAAAGAAATTCTACGGTGAAAAATTATCGTACAAAGTTCTTCAGGTACTTATTTTTTTTTCGTTTTGACATGTAGTTTTTGATAAAATAAATAAATATATATTCACGATTAAAAAACATGCTCAAAACTGAAGAAAAACAAAAAATTACAATAGCAACAATGATTTCTTCCTAAATTACTGTTATAATTTGTTCGATAAAAAAAAAAAAAATACAAACCATAGAATTGTACGAAAAAAATATATAAAAAAAATATATAAAAAAAACTGTTTTTTTAATTTTTGACCAGAATTCTTAATTTTCTCTATATAACATTGCTTCAAACATTTAAGTAGAATGATTAAAATTCAGACAAATAAATATATAAAAAAAACTGTTTTTTTAATTTTTGACCAGAATTCTTAATTTTCTCTATATAACATTGCTTCAAACATTTAAGTAGAATGATTAAAATTCAGACAAATAAATTTTTTTAATCGTGGGTTTTAAATTTTTAAGCGCAAAGTTTCATATCAAAGTCCTGTTAATATTTTTTTTTCTCTAAGTTTAATTTGAGTGGAATAATGGTAGCAGGAATATGATTGAAAGTTTTTATCTTAACAGCATTAAGATGGATTCAGTAGCGGGTCCAAGTAATTCACAACGAAAGCGGAAAATCATTTCAAACAATGAGAAACAGATGGTCTGTAGCGTATATGAAGGTTTAATAAATACACTTCAATGCAAGCCTTGGACCGCTGTTTATTTTTAACGAGAGTATCCGTGGCGACAATTGAACGCATTGTACGTGAAAAGAAGGTGACTGGGACTGTGCAAGCTCCAAAAGTAAATTGTCGTGGTCGAAAAAAAAAATTAAATTGGACGAGCACCAGAAATATATGGTACGCACAACTATTAATTCTTTTTTTTTTTTAAACAAATCGCCAACCATGGAATCCATTAGAAGGAAATTATTGGAGAATGATCTCGTTCCACAAATGAGCCAAGAGACAATAAGAAAAATAGTACACGAGTTGAAGTTTCGATATGCAAGACGATCTCGTAACTGTTTTAATAGAAAGAGAAGAGATAGTTTCATGACGACGAAAATATCTTCGCTCTATAAGGGAACATCGTTTGGCATGGGTGAATGCTGGTCACATGGCAAGATACTACGGTAACAAGTTATCGACAAACATTTGTGGCAGACATATAGGCAGTGAAAGTGTTTTTTTTAAACGACAGTGCCTTAGTTTTCTTATCTAAAAAACAGGGCATTATCACGAAGACATGGACGCTCAACGCTTTGAAGGTTGGTTTGAAACTCTACTTTCACGGATCGAGCCAAATTCAGTAATAGTGCTTGAACGCTTATCACAGCCGCTTAGTGGAACGTCTACCCACTATGGCCACTAAAACAACGGTGATGCAAGGTTGATTGCGACAAAAGGTAATTCCCTTTTCTGAGGACATGGTTAAAGGGGAGCTTATAACCATAATTAAACATCATCGAGACAGATATCGTCAGCATGTTGTAGATACATTGGCTCTTGCTCGGTGTATAAGAGCAAGAGGTGTAAGACTTGAAAATTAACGACGTCTAACGTTCTCTGGGAATCGGAATGACACGAATACGGAAAGAAGATTGGACAAATGCCGTAACTCACGTCATCAAGGAAGAAGACAAAATGTGGAGATTGGACGGGATAGTGGACAATGTAATCTAAAAGGTGGTGATAGAATTCAATGTCTCAGAGGATTCCAGTTCTGAGGACTCTTCAGCATAAATCAATATTTTTTATTTTATTCTTGATTACTGATTTATATGTGATGCGTGTAAGTATATTTATTTTTAATTTAATTTTTGATTTATCTAATGTAATAAATAATCTAAGAATTGCTAAATTATTTAAGTATTTTTTAACTTTAAATTTATTGATTATTAGAGGGCCATACTTTTTTAATTCCTATCAATATTTTAAATTACATTTTGTTCTGTATTTAAATTTAAATGCACTTTTCCTTTTCCCTGTATACCACTAAATATTTTACAAATTTTATTCTTCATTATTGATTTATTATTGCAGAACCTTTTATATATATATTTTTTTTTGTAAAATTAATAATAAAAAATTCCCATTTCTGGTCAACTTTTTCAGACATTTCATACAAAGTCGGTAAAACAATATTTAACGTAAATCAATAAAATCTTGTCAATTAAAGCTTATTCAATATTAGCATTTTATCGCGAATCATTGTTACGCTGCTGCATAGGAGGATTAGGGGTAATTCTAGAAATACATTGTTGCCGGCCGACCGTAATCCTTCGATGAGTCACCAACATTTAAAAATTGTAATAACAATTGCAAATAAATATTAATACTCAATAGGGTAGGGTTACCACTACCAGGTGTCCGGATGGGCAAATTTTGCATAAGCATCTGGATTTTAAAGTAGTTTTTTTTTTTAACAACAAAAAGTACAAAATAATGAACTAGATCAGAAAGAACTGTCATTAAAAAATCGTCGATAAACTCTTTAGTGTAAACTCCCTTAAGGGCCAAAGTCGATGGAATGACGGCGAGATGAACTAAAAATGTGTTTTTTTTTATTACTAAAATGAAAATAGTAAAACCATATGTCCTTAAGTAAATAATGTGAAAAATATCACCTTACTTCTTTTTTTTTATATATAAATTTGTCCTGGTTGGTACCCCTAAATAAGGCACTTGTTTTGAAAACATATAAAAATAAAAATTTAAAAGGGAAGTACCTATAACAAGTAACATGTTTAAATAATATATGTAGGAGGCCACACAATCAAAATACATTCGTCTAACCAAACATATATACATCGAAAAATTAATTATTTGAAACAATGTTGGTTATTACATCCATTTTTTAAATTTTTATAGAAAATTTAAATTATTTTTTTATAATATGGACAAGGTACAAAAAACGAGGAACAATATGGTTTTGGAATTGAATGGGAATAAATCAAAACAAGTCGTTTTTTCAGAGATACCCAATACTAAGTTAAGCTATTGGGCGTATTTAATGATGAAATACTGAATTGGAAACTTTATATAAATCACTTAGTATAAAAATGAAATAAACTGGTATTTAAAATAAGAAAGTTAGCAAAATTAACATATTTTTAAACTTTTTATTTTAGCAATTTTATAAACTTTAGTAGGTAAACACTAGTTAATGATTCAATTTCTAAGAATTTTCAAAATAAAAAAGTAATACGGTTCTTATGTACAATACCATTAAAAGAACATTGTATGTATGCATGCAATTTTCTAAGAATTTAAGAATATTTTTACTCTGCCTTCAAATTATAGTCTTCATTCCCTTATACACTAACAGCTATCAAATGTTTTCCAATACGTTTTGACTGTGAAAACTACATAGAATTAGCATTAGTGCAAGCAGAAAACAATAATATCAACGTAGCCAACTGTCAGTGGCATGGAGGCTGTATCTTGCTGTGTGCCTGTTCACATTACACAACACACAAGGTAATACAGGGTGTCCCAATGAAAAGTAGCCGTTTCCAGAACTTATAACTTTTAAACGCTTAATCGTAGAAAAGTGCGGTTTTTGCAGATATGTGTTATTTTGCTATAAGTTTTGGTTTAGTGAAACATAAATTTTGTATTACTACAGGGTGTTTTTTTAAAAATCTCCTTTTTTTAAATTCACCCTAACCAAATTTTATCAAAGTTATTTTGTAAAATACCATTTATACACTTTTGAAAAGTAGAAGAGTATATCTTTCAGATGACCTAAACATATACAGGGTGTTCCATTTGATAAAATTTGGTTACGGTGAATTTAGGAGATTTTTAAAAAACACCCTGTATAGGTAATACATAATTTCTGTGTCACTGAAGCAAAACTTATAGCAAAATAACACATTAGCAAAAACCGCACGTTTCTACGATTAGGTATAAGCTCTGGAAATGGGCTACTTTTCATTGGTACACCCCTTATTGATTTTATTCATTATTCACAAAAGGTATTGGAAGGTATTCAATAGCCAATATTGTATATTTTGTAAGGAAAATAATTCAAAATTCGAATCATCATTTGAACCCTATGCTGAAACAACGTTGCAACCACCAATATAAAAATGTAAATACAGTATTTCCATAGAATAATGTTGTATAAACCCTAAATAATCCACAGACGTCTTAGTGGGGACATAGGAATTTTTGGTGACATTTTGGTTAATCGAATTTGTTATTTTTGTAAAACTTTGAATGGGCCGCTACACCTAGTTGCCCACCAGTTTGCTTTATTTTTATATGTTTGGAGCGTTCTTGTTTATTATAAGCAGAAATTGATTTTATTTTGACAAACTCTAATGACATAGCTAAGAAGAAGTGAAATGCGAAACATGAATATTAACAAGTGGAAGCTTAAAACAACATTGTAACTGTCTTAGTTCCTTAAAACAACTTTGTAACACACAATTCTGTATCTGGTCGAGTCTGCAATGCCTATCTTTTTTTGTTATTCATATAAGAAGTTTTTTTTCAAATGAAAATAAAGAAAATATGTTATCTGAACTATAAAAAAGAATAAATCATCGATGAAAATATAAACTTTACCTTCTTTTCACCTTGCATATTCAGTTCAACAGTAACCAAAAGATCAGAATCAGGTTTGTTATAAATTTCAGGTGAATGTGTTTCCCTATGGCACTGAACGGCTTCTTGGAATGGATATACCACCCATTTGTAATAGTTCATTACAAAAACATCGTCCACAGGATCTCTCATAGTGGAATCATCGAATTTTAGTTTCGGACGACTAGCTAAATATCTAAAATTCGCCAATTTAACAATGTTTCATTTTGGTTAAATAAATAGGTAACTCACTTTTCTCTGTTTCTTTGGTTGTGAGGTATAAACCCAACTTTTTGTATTTCCACCTTAACTTTACCTTTCTTCTTTCTTTCTCTGGTACCTTTTCTAGCAGCATACTCTCTGGTTTGTATCAAATTTGTGGTTTCAAAGGTAGATCTAATTAATTTATTTTGTAATGATTTCAAAATGCAGCTATGAATGGCGGTACCTTAAAATAACTTAAATAGATTATTGTATAATACTTTTAATTATTTTTAACTTACGAAATGATAAAGTGTTCATTTTTATATAAATTTTCTTTTTAAAACTTTACCCACATTTAAATTTAAACCTAACCTAGTAATTTTACTTCCTTCACTTTACTTTAACACAATTGACATTGACACTACTAGTATACTAGCGCACTCTGAGATTTTAATTCAGAAGTTGCAAATTAAAATTTGCAGGAATGTCTTAGAAACATACAGAAACCTTTTTTTATGTCCACATTTACACACTAGTCTGTCCACCAGCTAAAAGATGCCGCTGTAGGTTATCTAGTCGGAATTTAGTTCAAATTTGTACAAAAAAAAACAAAATGTGCAAGAAATATTTTTACATACATACTAGTTTGACCACTAGCTAAAAGATGGCGCTATATCATTTCCAACATTTTTTATAAAAAATTAAAACAGGGCCGGGGGTTAAAATTGGAAAAGTTGACTGAAATAGGGGTCTATTCCTCCGAGCAATTACTAATGCACGGAAGCCTATTCTGTAACAATTCCTTTATATTTTAACGGCCGTTAAAATATTGGAGGCCTTTAAAAATATTTTCGTATTTACTAAATTACTTCCGTCATAAAACGGAGGGATTCCTTTGAAAATACATTAGAGAACTACCTACTTTAAAGAAATCCGTTTAAATAATAATAGAAGTAAATTAGGGAATACGAATGAGGCACAGTGGTCACTTTTTCGAAACGGAGCTTCCCACAAAGCACACGGACGTCTAAAAGACGTCCTTCAGGGACATAAAGGACGTCCGAGGGACGTCCTCTTTTGGTACCGGGGCGTCAATCGAACGTCCAATGGACGTCCTAATGTCCCGTTTCCGTCCATCTTAGGGACGTCCCTGAGACATCCCAAAAGGACGTCATAAGGACCTTTGCGGGACGTCCTAGGGACGTAAATCAGACGTCCGAGGGACGATATTTGACCATAATCCATAAAGGGTAATAATAACAAAAATGTTAACAATAAAAGACCTTCATTTAACAACTTTTATCCTGAAAAAACTAATTAAAGTTAAACGTTTTCAGTTTACAAAAAAAAAGGAATGAATGAAATTTGACACACAGCGCTGGTAAGATGAAACCTTGGGTCCTACTTATAGCTTGTGTCGACATAACGGAGTTTTATAATTTTGCCAAAATTAGTTTTGTTCCAACTTTCCGCCATTAAGGTATTTTCTTTCCGCCAGCGCCTACCGCCAATACACATCACTTATTCTCACCTTAACACAAAATACTCACTTCACTTTATAACCACTTTACCACCAACATCAAAAAAATAACAAATAACACTATATAACCTTCTTTTTCCTTCGTTAATCTAACTCACTTATATAAGTTAATTATTGAATGCCGAAAATTGTAGCTGTTGTTCATTTGAAAATAAATGATAGGTTAGATTTTCTGTCCTCATACTCTTGCAAAAACAAAACGTTGAATTTCAAGTTATCGATTGAGAGACCAACAATGCTAGTACATAGAAAGTCCCATAGACGTCCGATGGACGTCCCGGACTCGGACCGAAAACTAAACGCTTTGTCGAAACGTCCTGCGAAGGACGTCCTAGCCTTCACTGTAATCGGAAGTCCAGTGGACGTCCCATTTAGGTCCGGGACCAACCGGACCAATCAGGGACCAAATCAGGACGTCCATGGGACGTCCTGTGCTATCTGGGAATACTTAATTGTGTTTATAAATGTAATACAGATCTAAAATATTTATGTTACCATCAACAATTTAAGCATTCCAAACAAAATGGTTGCCTGTTCGTATTAAGTAATATGGCAACCCTATTGGCCTGGTCACAGAATAACCTTGTAACGCTAGAAATCAAGAAATTAGCACAAGCAACAATGAAGAACAAAAAGCCACACAAATATAAAAAGAAATGAGGTAGCAGATAGATTAGTAAATTTGGGCAGAAAGAAAAAAGGAATAGATATAAATTAAGTAGACTGTATAGACCTATTAGGTACCAAGAGTTAAAAAAAATACTGAAAGATTGGGAAGAGAAGTAGAATGAAAAGCAAAACAAAAGAACACTTATCCAACATCGAAGACAATTTAAAAAAAAATATGGTTTCAGGACGTTAAACTAAATAGGAATCAAATTACTACCATGTGCAGATGTAGAATAGGACATTAGTGGACATATATTCATCTACATAGAATAGGACAACTGGACTATCCTTCCTGCCATTGTGGTCAAAGAGGTTCATTACAACATATATTCTTTGAATGTAGAAATAACATACACAACATCAACACATTAAATAACAAAATGCTTAAAAAACACCCCTTGTATGCACTGCTTTGTTTCGTAGGTACATTACCTTAGCAATCCAGATTCCATAGACGCTTCATTAATAAACGAATTTTTAAGCAAAAGAAACATAATATTATAAATTACAAGAAGTCTAGAACAAAAGTAAGGACACGATGGTTAGAGCCAGATGCAGCAATTGCAATTTCCTTATGAAAAACTGACGAAAGCAAAATGAAAGACTGGGTAGATAGTCAAAACTAAGACCATAAACTCAAAGAAGAAGAATGAGACATTTTGTCATTTATCGTGTATTTGGAAAAAAGTAGAATGAACGAATTCCTTAAAATTGAATTTAATATTAATATAAAAAAACATATAGTTAATGTCCAAAATGTTTTTAGAGGCTGTTCCCGTTCTTTTTTTGCAATGTCTGATGATTTTTTCCAAAATCAGTAATGGTTTGGTTCCATGAGGACAAAGTTCGTTTTCAAGAAGGAACAAATGAATAAAATAAAATATATTAATTTACTTTTTGATCGAAATCATATCTAGTAAGATTTCCACTTTTTTTTTCAACTTATTAGAGGTGAATATTTTTAGTGCCAATAATTTTTGAATTTTTAAAAAGTTTATCAATTTAAGTTTCTATGTATATTTATTGTTGTTTTTCTGTTAAACAAAGTGTTTCATTTGTACATAAATTATTAAAGGTACTTTAATTACAATAGAATATTTTTGTTACTTTTTTATGATTAAAAATTTCTATAAATTCCTGAAATATCGAGTGTCTGTTATATTTTAACACTTTTTAAATTTATGTAATTTTTAAACTAGTTGACATAATGAAATATAGTTTTCATCACCCTTCTTCTAATTTTTATATTTATTTTCTGTGTATTCATCTTTTTTTTGGCTTACTTCCAATCTAACCGAATATGACATTTCATATTTTCAGGGATAGGACAACTATGTTGTTTCAAATACAATAGCTTAGTATATTTTTCTGAATTTGAAAGTCCAATATTTCCTCTTTCTGCAAGTGCCATTGCTTCATAGGGTAGGTAATACTTTTAGACCGTCAGAAAGTGACTGATTTAGGTGCCCCATTTTCGCATGCAAGCCTCGAAGAGTGTTGAAAAGTACATCGATTTTGAGTAGAATGAAAGGAAATTTACGAGTGGCCCCTAGGGATAACATGTGGAAAATTCGATTATCTTTAACAGAAATAAAAGGTTTTTTTTTGCTCATTTCTCCACGCAAGCCGTTTTCACTATATGATTAATTAATAGAACTAGGCTTCGAAAAACCAAAGGCTTTAATGTTGCAAGTGGCTAAAGGGTTGAAATAAGGGCGTAATCTTGTAAAGAAAAATCGATATTTTAACCGACTTTAACTCATGAATTTAAGAGACCAGAAAAAATAATGGTTTGAGTGCAGAGCGTGGTCTTCTTATTTTCAGAACATAGGAAAGTTGCTGGAAAAATGTATGCAAATTGTCACAATTTTCCCACACAAGCCGTTTGACATATGCTTAGAAAAAATAATTCTAAGACTGTATATAACAAAAGACTTGAGTGTCGGACATGGCCATCATATTATTTATATCTCTATAATTTATTCAACAAAAAGCTGACAAGAAAATCTAGAAATTTCCACCATTTTCTCACGCAAGCTTAGAAAAAGTAATTCTAAAACGATATAACAAAAGGCTTGAGTATCGGACATGAAGCATATTATTTATCTAAAAAATAACTGACAAAAAAATTTACAAATAAATATTATTTATTATTTATTGTTGGGTGATTATTCGAATAGTAAATTTTAACATGAATTTAGTGCTGAATTAACAATATGTTTATTTTAGAGAAAAATTTATATATTCTTTCGAAGGGCTATTAAATATAAACTTTAAAATACCTGTTAAGGCTAGTGATGATGTATGTATTCATACTTTCGACGGGCTTGTGTGGAAAAATCCGTTAAAATATCGATTTTTCTTTACAAGATTACGCCCTTATTTCAACCCTTTAGTCACTTGCAACATTAGAGCCTTTGGTTTTCCGAAGCCTAGTTCTATTAATTAATCATATAGTGAAAACGGCTTGCGTGGAAAGATGAGCAAAAAACACCTTTTATTTCTGTTAAGGAAAGTCGAATTTTCCATATGTTATCCCCAGGGGCCATTCGTAAATTTCCTTTCATTTTACTTAAAATCGATGTACTTTTCAACCCTCTTCGAGGCTTGTATGCGAAAATGGGGCACCTAAATCAGTCACTATCTGACGGTCTATTTGTCATGATTTTATTCGCTTTTAAAATAAATACTGTCATGTACATGGTACTTCAGTTGATATTTTTCAAGATGTACATATGAAACTCGATCTAACAAAGAGTAAAATACCACTATTAAACAATGAAAACATGCAGTACTTATTTATTTTTAAGAGCCCATAAAACCATTACCATTTGTAACAATTATTAAAGTATGGCATTATGGAAAGGGGTAAACAGTGGGCTATTGAACTGAGAAAAAACGATATAACAGTTGCCCTATCTCCGAAAATGTAGAATGTAATTTCTGCTTAAGGGAAAAAAATGATGGGTACACAGAGAAAAAATTAAAAGAAGACTGGTGAAAACTGCATTTTGTTATTTTAACTAGTTCAAAAGTAACATGGTTTTAAAAAGGTTCAAAATATAATGGAACACCTGGTATAGAAACAGTGAAATCCTGAGAGTTTAAAGCGTATTTATAATGGTAAGTTTGCTAGAAGTTTAAAAACAGTGTCAAGTGTAATTTTGAGAATTTTCAGATAATTCGTTAATAAAAGTTCTTAGATAATATTTAAATTGAAACTTTAAATAAGTTTTTAATTGTATGTTAACAATAAGTTAATTTCGTAAGTTTCCATTAAGT